CAGGAAATCTATTAAGTACTTTTTGACTTTATTCCTTTGCAATTACCCCTTTCCAGTCCCTCTTATTCAATTACTTACTCCAACCAATCCAAGAGTAGCCGTTCGCAAACGTTCCGGTTTATTTGCTTAACCTATCTCCAGCCCAGTAATTTCTGTTCCCAGTTCTCAACCTGCTATAAGTGATACCCAATCTGGTAGGCAAATATAACCGCTACACACTCACTGCAGATTTACCGACATCTCCAAAATTCTCTACTGCTACATACGCAGACGACTCAGTTTTGCTTTCTTCACATGAAGACCCGACACACAACATCACTCGGAAAATGCATACCGATTTATATGCAATATAAAGTTGTAATCAAACCTAATTGTGGTGTTCAGAAGTATTCCATACGATAATTAATTATTGCTCCTTGGAATATGCAAAATAATACCATAGCCCGAGGCCTTAAAAGGACAACCGTACAGGAGGAATATACCAAATTTAGCCAACGATATGAAGAGATTGACAGATCACCCTACTAATTTAGTCCAAAACCTAATGAGATAAATAGATAGACGACTACTGAAGCGAAATACTCCAGCCAACATGTTGAATCATTAAACGTAAGTGACACTGTGTCAGTGTCAAGAATATATAGCAAACTGTTTCTGGTCAATTTATTTCACGACACTAATTAAACACATACGGACAATTTGCTTATTGTAATTATACTACAGATTGTAAATAAATTTAAAAAATGCCATTTGATATAAACTAAAATATTTATAAAAAGACTTCAAACTATAAAGTAAGTAAATAAGTAACTTTTCAGCATTTACGCTATATATATATATATATATATATATATATATATATATATATATATATATATATATACAAAGTACATAAACTAAAATATTTGTAAAACTGACTTTCATCCTAACAAAAATTTAATATTTTCGATCTTGCACCTGGTGTCTAATAATGGTACTTTAATAAATTTTAATATTAGCATTTATTTGATGAAAAGTCATCTTATGGATAGAATATTAAAAACCACCCTTTCTAAATTTTCACACAATTCTCAATAAGTAATGTAACACTCATATGTAGCTGGTAAAAGCAATAAATGGAAAGAACCAGTGGTTGGTTATTAAGAATTATGTGTAATTTTTTAATTAATTTTCTAGACTTTAACTGCCTCTCTTTTTATATTTACTTGATCTTTTATAGTTAAGTTTTTTAAAAGTTCTCTCTGTCTATCCGATGTCAATGTCAATGTTGGGGCCATTGCTGTTTTTTTATATCTACTTTATATTGGATAATATAACAATTCAACGGGTAAATCTGCTCGATATTCGCTGATTAAGAGTCGAACGTAGAATACGATGAAATGAACATATGAGATTACGGTCATACGAATATTAGGCAAATAAAAATTCTGATATATATATATATATATATATATATATATATATATATATATATACAGTGGAACCTCGATTATCCGTCAGGGCACCGGACCAAGGGTATGATGGATAATCGAAAAGACGGTTAACAGAACATTAAAAAAAAATTCATAGTATAACTCTTAAATTTTATTTGTATGTTTTATTTGACAATATAAGAGGGATTTATGTTAGTACACTCGAATGAATTTGATTTAAATTATTCCGAAATCTGTGTTTGTTTTATTGTTACTTCACATTTTGCAACGGCTGAATTTCTTAATCGACGTACAATAATCAAATCTACCTTATTTGCTTCTTCTTGCCGAGAATACCACTTGATTTTGTATGTGCGATGCAGCTCCTCTAGCTTATTTACGCAAATCTTTGTGAGTTGTAATAGCATCATCAACATTGCCACCATCAAAGTTTCTGTCAACTTCGGAATCAGTTTCGCCCGCCTTTGTTGCCATTTCAACGATTTCATAATCTGTCAACAATCGATAGCCGTTTACGTCTTCACAAATTAACCATTCGTTTAAGTAATTTTTAGGCAACGAAAACAAAACAGTTGATTCAGCCATAACTTCATTTAAGGAGAGCATTTTCATCTAAGTCGATTCAGGCCATAATTTATTCCACGCTCTTTTCAGCGTTACTTCCGAAATATCAGCCCAAGTATCCACAGCATTGTGGACGTGTTTTAAGTTGTATGTTTTCCAGTATTCTGGCAAAGAATATTACTCTTCCATAACTAGGTTTTGAATACATTTTTTTCTGTATCTTCTTTTAAATGTTTAAATGACCGACTGATCCATTGGCTGTATCAATGATGTATTCGCAGGCAGAATAGAATACGTGTTATTTTTATCGTCACTCCGCAGCATACCGGCTTTAGGATGGGCAGGTGCATTTTCCAAAATGAGAAATCGTCTTTGGTGGAAAATTTTTTACAAACAAAATGAATTGATGACTAATTTTTTACTTATGATGTCAATATAACTTATATATAATGTATGGACCCTGACGGTTAACAGAGGTGACGGTTAATAGAAAGACGGATAATCGAGGTTCCATATATATATATATATATATATATATATATATATATATATATATATATATATATATATATATATATATATATTGGGGAAATCTGCAAAGTTTTATCAAATCTTTAAAAGTTAACTGTTGAAAATGTTCTGAAGATCAGAGACGTCCAGTTAAAGACACTCTTATAGACAGAACTATACTTATTTACTTATTATCATCATCATCATCAATGGTGCTACAGCCCTATGAAAGAGCCTCGACCTTCCCAAGTCTATTACGCCAGGCAGTCCTATCCATGGCCAACCGTTGCCAGTTTGCTGCGCCTATCTTTCTACCATCCTCATCTGCACCATCCTTCCATCTGAGTTTTGGCCTACCTTTTTTCTACTTCTCACGGGTTGTGACATAAGGATTCTTCTAGGAGGGTTGTTCTGCTGTGATCTTGCTAGATGTCCTGCCCATCTTAGTCTTCCTATTCTTATAAGAGATACTACGTCTTTACCACCAAATATTTGTTTATATCTGTGGTATACCTCGCAGTTGTATCTCCTCCTCCAAACACCATTTTCACAGATGCCACCAAATATTCCTCTCAGGATCCTTCGTTCAAATATAAGCAGAAGGTCTTCGTCTGCCTTGGAGATGGTCCATGTCTCCGATCCATATGTCAACACTGGCTGTATAAGGGTTTTGTATATGGTTATTTTTGTTTTTTGGCTTAAGTTTCTACTTCTCATATGTCTACTCAGTCCAAAATAGCATCTGTTTGCCATTATTATCCTTCGTTTGATTTCTTCCGTTATGGCGTTCTCTTTGATGAGCAGGGAGCCTAAGTATGTGAATTTGTCCACCACTTCAAAGGTAGAGTTATCAATCGTGAATTGGGGACTGATGTTCCTGACTCTTATTACTCTATTTACTTATTACACATTCTTTAAAAAGGCCGGTTTATTAGTGCTGGAACGCAAAGCAGTCCCTGCATCTCTTTCTAATGAGCCGGGTTTATCGAGCACGTGACCTAAATGACTAATAAATATGTTTTTGATATTAATTGGGTTTATTCAGAGTGATTCAGAGTTCAAGACTAACATCGATATCATATATACAAAAACGACAAAACAACAAAAGGAAAGGTCATCTATGTTCCAGAAGACTGGCATTACATCATGGGAAAGTGTAGAAATAAAATGAACTTTATTGTAAATAAAATCAAAAATGAAGATTTTTTCAACTAATAATTTAGGGAGAAATATAAGCAAGAGGAAGAAAAACACTGAGAACAATCCTGCGAACTGGTTGAAAATTCAATTGATCAGACTAGAAAAAAAGATAATTCTCACGAAATAATGTACAAAGAGACATTGCATAATATGGTGGAGTTTTATGTCCTAAACATAAAGCCGAGTGGAAGAAAATTAAGACCCGTAGCTTTAAAGAATGTGCCCTACGAAAAACTTTATCCATTAAAGAGACCTGTTAGGGAGTTTAAAAAGCAAGATATGATCGATCTGCTACCGTTTATTCCTTGGGTGCATCACACGTTTTGATGGATCTAAACACCGCACATGATGTTAAAGGTAATATTAGAACCTAATAATGAAGGGGGAGAGAAAGTCATGAAGAACTACGTGATGCAATCCAGTAAAAGAAAATTTTTAGAAAACAAAAAATGAATGTTATGTAATAATGTAACACTATTCACGTTAAATGTTCAATAATATTCTTGTTTTTCCAGATTCACATAGTTATGATTGAATTTACTTTGCACATGTTTAGAGTAAATGGCTTAAGTTAATTTAGCCCAATTTTTTGTACTGTACATGAAATATGTAGAATTCATGTTTCTAGATTAGATTGACCACTTAAACGTAAACATTTTTCAGTTATTTGTATTGCAATATTGTTTCATTTGATTTTTTTCAAACGATTTTAGCAAACCACGGTATTCCACAGCCATGCCTTGAATTGACTTATACCACTTTCATTTTCACCGGTTCAATTAACTCTAAGCTCATTAAACACCGACACAGTTACCAAAGATATGAGTCGATGTATACAAAGAAGTCGGGTGTTGCTCTATGGGTTTTATATTCATTTTTAGTGTTCCCACCATGTACATTGAAATAGTTCACTAACAAGTCGTTGGCACTGTGAATTTACTTATGATGAATTATGTGAGAGTTTAGAAGACAATAGTTTTATAAATTATAAATAATCAAATCTCTAGAAATACATTTACAAATTTCTTAATGTTAAATTCACGAACATTTACACCACGCTGAAAAAACTTGTGCCATTTTTTTACATGTTAACATTTTTTATATATTATTTAATTATTTTCTTAATTACCTATATAAATAAAATATAATAATCACCAAATCTCCTAACTCAAAAACGCCTATTAAAGACTTTCTACATAGACGAATTTTTAAATTATCAGACACGTGAAATCGCGGAGTTGCGTATGATTAGCTGATTTTATGTTTGATTTCTTTGTTAAGTATATTTCAGCCTTAATCTGTCCCAAAATATTTCTGGCCAAAGTGATTAGGTGCCACTGGATGAACTTCTGACGTAGATATTTTCATCTAAAACAAAATTAAAAAAAAAAACACTTTTCAATGTAAGTAACTTTTTTGTTATATTGTAATTATTATAATACGAGGTCTAGCAATTAAGTTCCGAGACTTTTATATTAATCTTTATTTAGGAATTTTTCATAATTTTTAATTTTTACCCATCAATATACTCTCTTTCCGCATCCCTACACGGTTCCATGCGAAACTTTTCACTAGACGAAACAGTACCGCTGGTCATCTTCCGTTAGGCTATCCTCTAATGATTCATAGAGGGTTTCTTTGAAGCAGTATTTATTTTTTTTTGAACAGGTAGAAGGATGCGACCTAACTCTGGCCTTGTTTTTGACTAAATACTCTTTGACAGAGTGCGTGTTGAGAACCGGCCTATTGTCCAGTAGACAGGAGTTCTCTTTCCACATTTCGGGTCTCTTTTTCTGATTTTTTTCCTTTAGTCTTCGTAAAACCTCTTAATGATAATAATGATAACTACCTGACCTTGTCGTGCTCATTCCGTCTGAATTTCACCACGTATATCAAATAAAATATTCAACATTGCATTGAATTTAGATGTGCTTATCGACGCTTTTTCGACCCTCAGAGAGCTTGAAGTTTTGCACTGCATAGACTACCGCGTTATTTCAGAGCCATATTGAAAAATCCATCACATCAAAACATTTTGTTTTTCCTGCTAAATATGTGTTCAAATCAGCCTTAGGACCTAATTGCCAGACCTAATATATTCATGAGAAAAAAAAAAAGAATGGTCTTCAATGTTTTGATTTTAAAGCTAAGATACTTAAATGAAACTCTAAAATTAATTATTAATGTTACAGTAATTACTGCTATTGTCTTTTGAGTCACAACTCTTACTTGTATAATCTGGAACTAGGAAAATGCAAACCTTGCAAAAAAAGAAGGAAAAAGTTTGGTAAAGACTTGATTAATGTGAAAGTATTCCTACTTGGGGTGGTATACATACACAGGATCAAACACATATTTTAATTAGGAAAACATGGGTGCATAATGGTTTTGATAGACGACACTACCATGTTGTACACTATACTTCCTTTATTGGCCTACATTTCATATTTATAAAGAACGATGATTGCCCAGATAAGAAAAGTGTGATAAGAGATTATTTGGATGGAGGTTTATACTGGAATAAAACTTATTTGTTTAATTGCTCTGTAACTTGTTTTTATAAATTTGTACATTTTTTATTTTTCCTTTGAAATATTCTCTTTTTTATCCAAAGTTTCTATAATAGGTATATTAGCTCAGATCTAAATTCCATAGAGCATTTCTTGAATTATTATTTATTTACCAGATGGTGTGCATGGAGAATATAATTATAAATAAAAATTATTATATTCATAAGGTACTATAAAAACAAATATACATAACATCATACGTTTTGTCTTGTTAGTTTTGCATATAGGCTTAGAGGACGCCACCAATAAAACCTTCTGACACAAATGTAACCTCAATCTTTTGTTTACATAAATCGAGATTTTCACTGCGATATAAGTCGTGTAGATACAGTGAATTTTTGAAATTAGCAACTCTGTCGAAAAATGGATCTTAGCCGAGAACATTTTCGAGCAATAATTTTTTACAATTATCCAACAGCAATGTCTCGCAGAAATGGGTTCTGTGTTTGGGAATGAAGCATCAAACCAGTCAACTATTTCTCGCTGGTATTGCGAATTTCAACGTGGTCGCTCCAGTCTCAACGACGAATCCAGGCCAGGTCCCCCCAAAACAGCAGTCACAGAGCAAAATATTGATGCGGTTCGTCAGCTAATTAAGTATAACCGCCGTGTAACATACCGCTTGCTAGAGCATAGAGGCATCTTTGAGGCATTCCAAAGATCTTGATCCAAAAGATCCTACATGAAGAACTGTGTGTTACGAAGTTGATTTCCGGTTAGAATTTGACAGAAGAGCAAAAACCAGTTCGTGTCAATTGGTGTCGAAAAACATTGGAATGATTCAGAAAAGGAAGCTCAAAAAACATTTATAGTATTGTTTGTGTCGATCTTGGATTTACTGATACTTCTACGAGCCGGAAAATAAACGCCAATCCGCTGTGTGGATGTTTCACGATGAGGAAAAACCAACAAAAGTGATCCGTTCTCCAAAAGTTTGATTGTATCTGGCTGAAGTCCCCATTAATAGTCATTATTAATCAATAGTAAATCATAGCATGGCTCATCTAATAGGGATTGGAATCTTCCACTCCAAATCTGAGTTAATTTTCCATACCTGGTAAGTGCTCATTGGGGTTCATTGCAGCAGGTGATTGGGCTACAGTTTCTTCACATCCCTTTCATTTTGCAAAATTGATGGAGTTATAGGCATTTAGAAGTGAGTGAGTGAGTGAGATGAGTAAGTGAGATTAGTGAGTTAGCTGAGTGAATGAGATAAGTGAGTGAGGTGAGTGATTGAGGTGGGTGGGTGAGGTGAGTGAGATGAGTGAAGAAAGTGAGTGACTGAGGTGAGTGAGCTTAGTGAGAGCTGCAGATGCAACAAGAGTATCGAAAAAAAATATTCCCTTCTTTTAAACACGTTTTTCACTGAATATTTTTTTTAAGTTTGTGTTAACTATATCTCAAAAACTACTTGATTGATCCTTCTCAAATTTTGCACACTTATTTTATTGATAAATTACTAGGTCGCTACGTCAAGATATTGTCCATTTTGTTGTTATTTTATAATTTTAATTTTATAAGATCAAATTAGTCAAATTTTAACAACAATTTATCGAAAATTTATTTACGAAGTTGAAAAATATATAAATGAATGTTTTATTCTTTTTTCATTGCTAGTGATTTTATCCTGTAAAAGAGTAAAGATATTTGTTTTCTCGTAGTTTAAGTTGCAAAACAAAATTCTATGGAAACCATTCTATTAAATTGCCATAATGTGTGCTTAAAAACATGTTTTTGAATGATGTAATAGTTTTTGAGTTTATTTTTAAGATATGGGCATATAATGGCTAGTAAACATGTGTAAAAGATATCCAGTAATTTGTGAGTAATGACAACAAAACTGCTATTACCTATTTAAACTATGAGAAAACAAATATATTTAGTATTTTAGGGGATAAAATCACTAACACTAAAAAATAATAAAACATTAATTTAAATATTTTTTAAATTCCTAAATAAATTCAATGATTTATTAATTAATTTTTAAATAACCCCAATAAAACAACAAAAAAATAATTGAAATGAGGTTGAATGCTCGAATAAATGAACTTTGAAAATAAGGCTATTATCCAGCACAAGTTAATTAAATCTAGCCCAAGTACTTTCGCTTAAAATAGCATCTTCAGGGGCATTTCGTCAAAATGTAAACTATCCGATATCCGTGAATTATCCCTCAAGATACTGACAGAGAATGTAGCGTAGAATCTTTAAGTAATTTTAAACTGTTTGTCCTCGTTTTAGTGTAGTGTTTTGTACAATTTTATGTCATTTTTAATGTTTCCACATTCTACGCTTGCCGGATAATTTACATTTTGACGAAATGCCCCTGAAGATGCTATTTTAAGCGAAAGTACTTGGGCTAGATTTAATTAACTTGTGCTCGATAATAGCCTTATTTTCAAAGAACAACAAAATACCTTGAAATACAATAAAAAACAATTTAAGTTTTAATCAAATAATAAGATAACCTTAAAACGTGAACATTGGTAGTAAATATCTTAATACTTTGATATTCTTACCTCGCAAATTAACGAACGACAAATAAAACCAATGCACAGAACTAATGCTCATAACCAAAAGTGCTTATTTATTCTACAAACAATTAAAAAAAAACCTATATTTCCAACTTCTAATGGGACAAATACACACAAATTAGAAATGTTTAGAAAGGTTTTAAAATCCCCGCCCATTTTGACGTCCTAGCTTAGGTGTAAATAATAATAAAATACATATTCAAGTGTCATGATTTTGTACTAGTTTATTGTGCGCAGGAGTGTATTATAAAATGAGTGTCTATACTTTACCTTTGGATACATATCTAAGACAGTTTGTACAGCCTGGGGGGTACAAAATAAATTACTAAGTACTATACATTCTTCTTTAACTCCATGCTCTGTTAATACATTTACTGCCTTACTAACAGTATTTCCTGTAGACATTATGGGATACATAAGTAGTACCTTAAAAAAAAAACAAAAAATACAAACGCTAAAGTGAAATTTATATTCATCAATATCATCAATTATTTAATGAGGAGAATTGGGAGTGGGGAACAGAGTTGGGTTGGATACTGAAAAAATGTATCCGGATACTTTTTAAAAAAGTACAAATACTTTCATTTAAATATGTATTGGGATACAAGTATTCGGATATTTTTTTCGCATACTTCCTAGGATACTTTGAAGGATACTTTTTTTAAGAAGGACGTAGATTATAAGTATTAGAACTATGTGATATGCATGTATTTTTAATGTAATATATAATAATATAAATACATTAAATGATGGAGAAAGAAATCAGAAAGTACTCAAAAAATTGTTTATTGCTTATGAATATAAAACTAGAACATAAACTTATAAGGAAACATTAAATTAAAATAAAAACGTACTAATACAGAAAGTATTCCAATTGCTGACGAAGTCAAGAGTGACGTGCCTTTGAATTTGCCTTTGTAAGTACCAATACCTCAACTCAAAGTGTTAATCACTTACAGCTTTTCTTTTAGGCGTATCGATCATAGTTGCAAAAGAGAAAAGTCTTTCAACTGGTGCTGACGAAGGTAAGCATGTGTTGTACTTTATTGATACCTTTTTTAAGATTGGGTATTCATTTAAGATGTTCAAATTGGTTCTTTTGCCCTCCAAATATCTTAGCAACTCCAACTGTACTTTTGAAGTTTTATTATTGATGCTGGAACCCTGTTCATTCTGTGTATAATTAATAGTACAGCTGCTGTCCACTTGCTAGTCTCGAAAATTGCTGAAATCAAAAAAGTCATCCAAATTTTGATCTCCACTTTCATCTGATTCATTGCAACTTTCCAATTCCATTTTTATTTTGGCGACAGTTATAATGCATATTTTTATATCTTCTAAAGTTTTTTTTTGTGATTTTTTACGACTTAAGCTTAAATTTAGGAAGAAGAACTGCAGCTATAATTGGATCTTCCCATTCCAAATTTAAAATGTTTGCAAAACGAGTATTTAAGCTTTTAATGGACATTTTTGCTAGATGTTCTCCTCCATATTTTAATTTCGTTTGAGCAAGAAGTTTCTCATATTTATTAATTAATGAAATTAAACTGGGTAACAAATATCCAAAAGATACATTCTCTTCACCTTGTAAGAAATCTAACGTTGAGGCCAAAGGTTTCCTAACTAAACAGTATTCCTCTAGGCATAATAGTTCAGTTTCCTTAAAAGGTTCTAACGTTAAATTTTGTTGCAAAATTGGAAGTTTTTCTTTTGCTTTAAGAATTTGGAAACGGCATCAAAAATGAAGTTCCATCTAGTGGCCCCTGGAGAACTTAAAGTATGCCCTAAAAGTTTAATTATAACTTCATTACTTTTTGGTTTATTTGATTTTTTCCATAAATGAGCACATTTACTAAATGCATTCATTTCTCTTGTTCGTATCGCTGGAATTTTTGTTACAGTATTTTTATAGTCGGTGTGGCTATTAAATTTAAAGTATGTGTGGCACATCGCATATGTTTGGGTAAATGTATATCCTGGTCTTCTGATCTAACTCTTTTCCTTCATCGGCTTGATCAACGTTCAAATGTAAAATTTGCAATTCATCTTCTTCTTCACCAATTTCCTTATCGTCGTCCTCTTCATTTTTCTCGCCGAATACTTTGAATACTTTAACGAAATTGCCACCGTTATCTGTAACTGTCACACAATTTTATTTTCTGTTAAGCCAAATTTTAAATTTATGTCTTCCAGCATCTCAGCTATACTTCTGTATGAGTGAATACCTGTAAACCTAAAATAAATATTATATTATTAATTTTTTGTGTATAAGTACGTCGTACGTGTAGTGTGTACAGGAATTGAATTTGTATAGCAGGATAATTATAATTTATTCACCTTCTACATGTAAGTGCAGCTGATTTTCGGTTAAAGTCTTCATCCAACCAGTGAACGGTAACTCCTAAGAAGCTTTTATTTTTATTTGATCATATGTCAGCTGTAGTGCATACGTAATTAACACCTCTAAATTTTATGGAAGTATATCTTGGAAGATATCCTTAAAACAATCGTAAAATAGTTTCGAAACACAATTCAGATTTCTGCTTTTATCTGTGCTTTCTAAAAATTGCAAAGCAAAACAGACGTTGATAAAGGTGTTAAAAGAGACGTGGGGAATCTAAAATTTGCATTCCACGACACATCTTTTCAACTAAGCAGAAATCCTTAGCGAATTGGTTTCTTGTACTCGTACAGAGTAAATCCGAAAAAAGTGAAAAAGACAGCAAATATTTGATTTCACGCAAACAGCGCCTTTGTATCTGTTGATACGTATTTCGACCTAATAGGTCTCATCAGAACAGTTATTCAAAGGTGTTCTCAACGTGAAAGATCAATATTTCCTGTCTTTTAAGAAGCAACAATAACATGGCTTCGAATACGGACGCACTAGCGACATCTAATTTAACAATCGTAAAATAGTTTCGAAACACAATTCAGATTTCTGCTTTTATCTGTGCTTTCTAAAAATTGCAAAGCAAAACAGACGTTGATAAACACTCTCTCTTTTAACACCTTTATCAACGTCTGTTTTGCTTTGCAATTTTTAGAAAGCACAGATAAAAGCAGAAATCTGAATTGTGTTTCGAAACTATTTTACGATTGTTAAATTAGATGTCGCTAGTGCGTCCGTATTCGAAGCCATGTTATTGTTGCTTCTTAAAAGACAGGAAATATTGATCTTTCACGTTGAGAACACCTTTGAATAACTGTTCTGATGAGACCTATTAGGTCGAAATACGTATCAACAGATACAAAGGCGCTGTTTGCGTGAAATCAAATATTTGCTGTCTTTTTCACTTTTTTCGGATTTACTCTGTACGAGTACAAGAAACCAATTCGCTAAGGATTTCTGCTTAGTTGAAAAGATGTGTCGTGGAATGCAAATTTTAGATTCCCCACGTCTCTTTTAACACCTTTATCAACGTCTGTTTTGCTTTGCAATTTTTAGAAAGCACAGATAAAAGCAGAAATCTGAATTGTGTTTCGAAACTATTTTACGATTGTTAAATTAGATGTCGCTAGTGCGTCCGTATTCGAAGCCATGTTATTGTTGCTTCTTAAAAGACAGGAAATATTGATCTTTCACGTTGAGAACACCTTTGAATAACTGTTCTGATGAGACCTATTAGGTCGAAATACGTATCAACAGATACAAAGGCGCTGTTTGCGTGAAATCAAATATTTGCTGTCTTTTTCACTATATCCTTAAAACTTTGATGTTCTATTATAGATATTGCACTCATGGTGCTCACAACAAAATTTATTAATCTTTTTTCAAACAGAGATTGGCTTAAAACTGATTTGCCTCCCTCTTTGGTGATTCCCAGTGATGGTTGAATAAACTTAGCATGTTTGGGGGGTTGTCTTTTGAAATTTTCAGTTGTATTAAGTCTCTTTCTGGTTAAATCTTCCTTTGAAATTTTATACTTATTGTACTCCTTAATTTTATTAGGTAGCATCCTTTTTAAGTGTTTAAAAACATTTGAAGTAGAACCTTTTGTTCCTTTTATGGGTTTCTTATGTGGAAGGCAAAGTTGACAATCAGCTATAATGTTTTCACCATCGTTTTCTTTTATTTTAAAGTATTTTCCATCTAGAATGGAGGAACTAGACGCTACTTGTGAACTCTGTGGTACATCAGGTTTTTCTCCCATGTCTTTAACAAGTTTTGTTAGAGGTTCGGATATAATAGAAACTTGGTTCGATTCATTTTTCCTTTTTCGTTTGAAGAAATTCATAAGAGAATTTGCTTTAGCTTTTTGAGGTAAACTTTGCTCAGAATGGAATCTGATAATTTTTCTTGTAGGTGTAGCTTTTAATTAGGATCATCTGAACTTGTAGCAAATGGATCTTCTAGAGTGTCATCATTCTGTTCTTGATTGGAACTGGTAGATCCAATTACAGGATCAGTTGAATCCATGTTGCTCTATCTGGAATTAAAAAAAATTGTCTAGGTTACCCAAGTTACTGCTCCAGTTGTTTGGTTGTATGAAATATAGTTAGACATAGACCGTAATGTAATATCGTTTTTTTGATTTCTACAAATTCAAAGACCACGCTTTCATTTAAAAACTTTAAAAAATATCTTCAAATTATGAGCAAGCATATACATTTTTTAGCTTACTTAACCATCTGTATAAGCTCTTTACTCGAATACTGACAAACAGATTGGAAACTAAACTACAATTCTACCAGTCCGATGAACAAGCCGGATTTCGATCTGGTTACAGAACAAATGATCATCTGCACTGCCTCAAAACTCTGATCGAAAAGTAGATCGAATATAATAGACCCCTTGTTCTCATTTTTGTTGATTTCCACAAAGCATTTGATACAGTGGAAATAGTCGCTATCTTAAAAGCATTAGCAGAAAGCAGGATAGACTACAGATATACGAATATCATTCGAATTATATACGAAAATGCAACAACAACTATTAACTTTCACTGCTTGACTGAAAAGATAAATATCGGCAGAGGAGTACGACAAGGCGATACTTTGTCGCCAAAACTGTTTATAGCAGTCCTGGAATACACATTTAAACGATTAGAGTGGATTTCAACGGGTATTAACATCGATGGACAGAAATTAAATAACCTCCGGTATGTAGATGACATTGTTCTCATAGCAGATGATAAGGGAGAAGCCAGAGTTATGCTACAACAACTACAGCAAGTAACGCAAAAGGTCGGTTTAAAGATCAATTATGGAAAAACCAAAATGATGACAAATCTCGTTCCCAATGATAAAATCGAAGTCGAGAACATACCGATAGAAATTGTTGATCTATATGCATATCTATGAAAAATATGTATATCTGGCTGGGACATGAAACAAGATTAACGCGAGACAACCAGACATCTAAGCTGCTCAGAAAAATTAGCTTAGGATAGGCAGCGTACGGAAAAATGAGAGATATATTCAAAACAAATGTTCCAATTCACTTAAAACGAAAAGCCTTCAATCCCTATGGAACAGAAACCTTGACTCTCACAAGATCATCAGCGGAAAAATTGAGACGAACACAGCGTAGAATGGAGAGATCAATGCTTGGAATAAGTTTGAGAAATAGAGTAAGAAACGAGCAAATTCGTAGACAAACCGAAGTGGAAGACATTATCGAACATATAACAAGGCAGAAATGGAGATGGGCAGGTCATGTTGCAAGAATAAAGGATGGCAGATGGACGAAAAAGTTGTTTGAGTGGAGACCACGAGCAGACAAGCGTTGCCGGGGAAGACCATCAACTCGATGGACCAACGACCTTAAGAGAATTGCGACAAACTGGATAGCAGAGGCACAGAACAGAGTTAGATGGAAATATCTTGAGGAGGCCTATGTTCAACAATGGACAAATCAGGGCTGATTGATGATCTCAATAAGTAACCAAAATCATTTGCTAAATGAGGATTATTGACTCCGTTTTCGTAATGACGCTGCGTGATCAGCGATCGCATAAGTAGTCTTTTAAAAACTAATTTTATTTTTTTTTTAATTATCATCACATATTTATAATATCGAAAATTAAATGCAACTTACCTTTAGACAATTCTACAACTTTATTTATCAGTTTTCGTAGCGAATCAAATGCACAACAATATTTATAACTTATTATGTTACATTTAACACACAAAAATGTCAAATTGTTTATAAATTATCAATATCTCTATTACACTGTAACACAAAACCTCCCCTTAAACGTCTTTTGTCTGTCTCAACTAAAACACAAATCACAAATGAGCTAACGAAAAACTTTTTCTTCTGTACTCGGTAGACAAGAATTTGCAGGATTCTTCCTGTAAAAATCAAACATGTTACTGTTTGAGCTTTTGATATTGAATTTGGCCAGCGTCTGACAAGCCGAGTTTTCAAATTTTAAACTTTTTAGGGGGTGTACTTATTTATACTTGTAGGTACACTAAAATAAAATTATAAATATTAAGATGTACTTTATTATAATCCGAAAAATAATTTCTTCTCATTATACAGGGTACAAAAAGGGGTTCTTGAATAGAGAGATAGAGAAAATATAAAAAATAAATGTAAGTAATTAATTAAACAACATACTTATGAAGATTTATAACTGATTAGGTAAAACAAAGCTCCATTAGCTATATTATTATAATAATATATTATAGGGGTGACAAGTACGAAAAATGGGATTTAACATATTAGACACATCTGGATTGAAGGAATGGCAGTGTTGTGCCTATGTTAGGTGGGTCAATCCATGCCAAGTGGTCCAAAGGTGGATTTGACTATTTTTAATATTTTTTACTTTTCTACTTTCTATACTTCAATCTATAGACAGTACAAAATTGCATTAATTTTATTTTTTTAAAATTTATTTTGCCGACGGCGGCCATTTTTGTTTCATTGTGTCGGTCATTTTCACAGAAAACATGGCTTCACTCTTTAGCCAATATTTTCACTTAGGTTTGTCCTAAAACAATAAATCAAAATCCAAACTGTTGGGAAAAGTATGCTCTAAAAAATGGTACATAGCATTATTTAATTACAAACTACCCTTAATGCCTTAAATTAACATCAAACTTTGAAAAGGTAAACTGATAAAATTCCGTTTCCAGCATTTTTTTAACAACGTAAGGCAAGCTGATAATAGTTTGTAATTTTTTTCTGGAAAAGACATACATACATACTTTAAATGAAAAAAGTTTGAGTTTTAAGACTTAAGTCAATTTTTTCAAAAAAAATCTCAAAAATGTAATTTTTTGAAAAATTTCAAAGTTTGAGCCCTTATATCTCTGATGGGCAAGCAAGTAAAAATTTGAAATTTGGCTGAATGTTAGTTACTAATGAGTAGAATAAGGGATAAAAATTTGAAGTTGTAGACTTAAGGCATATAGGAGTTACAGGCCTGAGAAAATGGCAAAAAATCATTAATTTGAGCATTTGGAGTACTTGAAATTTAAATAAACTGTCTAATGAAATAAAAATTAATGTATTTTCACCAAATTTCACAATAAATACAAATTTATACTACATTATAGAAATATTAACCTTCATTTAGAAGAAAACAGCAGGATTTGCCCTGGAAAAAGACTGTGAATCTGTGTGCATCAAAGGAAAGCCAGTCCACAAACAAAAATATCTTCTATGTATCATAAGTAACTATCAACATCATAACACTGCCGTGGTTCACTGTTTTCAGAAATATTTCATTGAAGATTGGAACCATAGCTCCAGCTGTTAAAAGAGTAATTTATTTTACTGATGGTGCCAATAGCTAATATAAAAATAAAATTTTTTTCTGAATATCTTTCATCATGAGGAAGATTTTGGTCTACAGGCGGAGTTGGCACTTTTTTGCAACAGATTTTTTTTGGTTTGATTTATGTTCACAGATTTTAAAAGGTATTCAATATTACTATGTTGAAAGTGAAGAAATCTTACAACATAAATCACAACTTGAAGAGAGATTTAAAACTTGTTTGAAAATTCCTGACACATGTTCTTTTCATCAAATTGTACCAATCTGAGAAAATAAAATCAAATTTTTAAAACATCCTAGGTAACTAAATATTTAGAATTTTTCACAAGTGCTATCTCCATTTCCCTAAGTGAAAATGATGTAATAGCCTGTGTATATGATGGAAAGTATTGGCTAGGGGTAATAAAAACTGTCAGCATTGAACATTATGACTTCTATGTGCACTTTTTTGAACCTTCTGGATCCAGACATCATTTAAGTTAAGTGCTCATGATGAAGCCTTTTCATAAAATCTTGAAGAAAATCACATCCTCAGAACTAAAAACAGCAACTGGATGCAATCATAACATATCTCATGATTTATGAGATGAAATATCCCAACTTCTGAACTGTCAAAATTCTAAATGAAGGTTAATATTTCTATAATGTAGTATAAAATTGTATTTACTGTAAAATTTGGTGAAAATACTTTAATTTTTATTTCATTAGACAGTTTATTTGAATTTTAATTACTATACCGCAAACATTCAAATTAATGATTTTTTGCCATTTTCTCAGGCCTAGTAACTCCTATGTGCCTTAAGTCTACAACTTCAAATTTGTACCACTTATTCTACTCGTAAGGAACTAACATTCAGCCAAATTTCAAATTTTTTACTTTCTTGCCCATCAGAGATATAAAAGCTCAAACTTTTTTCATTTAAAGTATGTATGTATGTCTTTTCCAGAAAAAAATTACAAACTATTATCAGCTTGCCTTATGTTGTTAAAAAAATACTGGAAACGAATTTTATCAGTTTGCCTTTTCAAACTTGTAGGTCAATTTAAGGTCTTAAGGGTAGTTTGTAATTAAATAATGCTATGGACCACTTTTTTAGAGTATACTTTTACAAACAGTTTGGTTTTTGATATATTGTTCTAGGACAAATCTAAGTGAAAATATTGGCTAAAGAACCAAGTCATGTTTTTCATGAAAATGGTCAACACGATGAAATAAAAATGGCCGCCATCGGCAAAATAAATTTAAAAAAAATAAAATTAATGCAATTTTGTATACTCTATAAACTGAAGTTTAATTGGTATAAAAATAAAAAATATTAAAAATAGTCAAGCAACCAACTTAATTTATATTGGACCACTTCGTATGGATTGTCCCTGGTGCATTATCGGTGGGCGATAAATATTTAAAAGTATCCGAATATCAAAAAAAGTATCTGGATGCCGGATACTTTAAAATTTGATCACAGATAGGGATACCGGATACAAAATTTAAAAAGTATCTGGATACAGCTTTTGTATACATAAAAAGTATCTGGATATTGTATCCAGATACTACCCAGCTCTGGTGGGGAATAAAGGTATGCTAATGTTTAACCTAATGACTCAAATTTAACATAAAATTAAACAAACCAAGAGATACTCAAGAAGCACCTTAAGGTTTGAATTTAGAATGCAACTCCATATATAAAAAAAGCACACAAAATCTCTCTCTAAATAAATATCTCTTCAATCATCATATAACAACTGAAAGAGAAAAGAATGACTCCCAAAACTTGTTAAAAATTTGGAAATTTTCTAGAAGAATGGTGCATAAATATAACAACTAAGATTTAGTATATAAGATTCAAAAACTAAAATTTCCTTATAGTATATTACACCACACCCATATTCATTAAAACAAAATAAAAAATTTCTAGGGCTGTTCCCTTTTGTAATAAGAATACCTACATATTTCTTCTTTTTTATGTTTAACTAATGTATATGCAATTTACTACAAAGAAATAAAAAGGTTTATTAATTGACTTTTGGATCAAATTGTACTAATATACTTACTTAATATCTGTATTAAAAATGGAAAAAAATCCAAAATGTTACAAATGTTCTAGTTTTTCTGGTACTGATACTTACATGCCTTTGGCAAATATCTTCTGGGAATCTAGCATAAACAACTTTAGCTTCATGAGTATCTAAATCTGATTCTACTAAAATCTTTCCTATTCTAATACTTCTACAACAATCTCTTAAACCCTGTTCCATTGCTTCACCAGATCGAACAATTGAAACACCACAATTGCCAGATTTATACTTCAATCCATCATACTTGGCCCCTGTAGGAGTAATGACATCACAGTCTGTAAATGGTAATTGATTTAAACTATCTTCTATCACAAGTCTAATTAAGCGATCAGCATAAAACTTGAAGTCACTTCTAGTGGTATTTCTAAAAAATATAATATTCACATTAAACTTGTTCCATGCAACAAAAATGTTTCAGAAAAAAATTAGTCAATTAGCAATATACTGATTGCGCAAATAATGCAAAATAAAGTAGAGTCCACTGATTATAGAGTGGCTCATGTGAGAAATTGTATCTGCACCTAGTGTATAGGTCCACCTAAGATTTAGTATTTGAAAACAAAAAAAAAACTATATATTGGCTAAAATTTAATGACGATGATTAAAATATTCTGAAAAGGGACATATTATTATAATGAATATTAAAATTTATTTTTTGGTAGGTGGAAAATTATAGAAAATTGTAAGAGAATAATAATTAGAATATTGAATATATAATGCACAATATCACAATTTCAGATTGAACGTAATGTTTTTTAAGACAAAAATATGCTATTTGTACTGCATCCAGAATGCACTGTGATATTTACCTATCCCTTAAAATTGTCTGAAGTTCTTTGATTTGATCATGAGCTTGTAGTACATGCAGGCCTTTATAGGTTTTATAAAATTCAAAACCATTACAAGCTTCGTGGTCTTGACTACCCATGTTGCTTTTTTAATTGGACCACTTAAAATTAAGATAAAAATAATTTTGTTTTTTTATTTAAGACCTTTAAAATCAGAAATTTAGGTTATGTTCATTGTATTTGAGGTTATTCATGTTCATGTGATGTTCATTGTTCATGTCATTCACAGATCACCTACAGTCTGTGATGTCATTGCATCTAAGATATCTAAAGGTGGTCATACAGAGCCTACGGAGGAGACAAGACAAGATGCTGTAAAATCAACGAATTGCTACTTCCAATAAAAATTCTTTAAAATCAACCAATACAGATGGAAGACATAACATTTCAAGTTTCGTATAAAACTCAAATGATTTTATTTAGAGAAGATAATATACTGATCGTAAAACCCGAAATCCAATATACCAATTTACTAAGTATTAGTTAATATTAAAGCGAAGTTTCTAGCTTCTATGTTATCTATACTGGCGTTATATTAATTTTTCTCTACAGTAAAATGCTTAGACGATCGTCATGGAAGCTAAACGAAATAGTTGGAAGAGTCCATTTACTCGACGAGTAGGTCCGAAATCTAACATGTAACATGTGTAATCTAATTTACAAAAATTTGTTACAATAAATTAATAAACGTTGTAAATCGACGATTGTAAAAAAAATCTTACAATAAAAAGATAATAAATAAATAATTATCAAAATAATATTGAAAATTTAAAAATACGGAAAACACAGTATGAAGCTTCTCGCTAGTCTATCACCTACTGTATGTACCACTTTTTATATTTTTTTATAAGGTGTTTTTTTATATTTTTATCAAACGGTAAATTTGGGTAATTACGAATTTATTTAACGTGTATACCTACACCATCGAGATAGGATCTATGGAGAGGGCATCACGTGCCTAAAAACGACATCACTTCGGCCATATTGTTAAGATTGTTTTGACAGATCATATATGTTTACGTTTATTTTTTTTGTAAAACTGTAATAATATATTGTGATAGTGCATAATTATGGTTTGTTGTTCTCAAAGTAGTTGCAGTAGCGGAAGCAATGTTATACTCCATTCGCTTAGCTGGGGCATATTTTGACAGATTCATTGTCGGAAACCTACATCGAGTTAGAATCTATGGAGAAGCTATGAGCACAGAATAATGAACAATCAGAATGCCCACTCTTTATAGAAAATTAAGTACGCGCATCTCCTTCGCGCAGACGTTCCGCCATTTTTTAGAAGGAACCAGTGTTATTTATGTGGTGTGTATAGATAAAATTAACCCGGTTTAATTGACTTACGGCAATCATAGATATACTATACAATTATATTAACATTGTTAAATATAATAACATAAATATAATAGAATTAAACATAAATATAAACAATTACATAACCTCACAAATCATTGTCTGTGTTATGTGTTTCCTTCTAAAAACTTCAAAGGCGGCACCTGAGAGTGAACATTCTGATTGTTTATTATTTTGTGCTATGAGCATATTAACGTATGTATTAAAAACGGCGTAGGTAGGCATGGCTAACGATAATACCAATATGGCGGTGACATCAGGGCCAGACTGTATAATATTAAAACTACTATACAAATATGACTAGTTATTCAGCAGAGTTCATCATAATCTAAAAAAGTGCAATACATTTTTAATACACTATGATTTATTTATCCTGCGGTAAACACTAAAAACACAATATATTATAAATAAAGATAAATTAATACAGTCAAATACTATTAATTTATTCTCTGAAGTACGGGCCATTACTTTGTTTACATATTTGTATAGGTCTACCAACCTGTGGAATGGTATTTCTGAAGATTTTTTAATATCATTGCTTCTGCTACTGCAACTACGTTGAGAACAAGAAACCATTATTACGCACTATCACAATATATTACAGTTTCTATAAAAGTATTATAAAACTGAAAATATTCAAAAAACAACAAATGTAAACAAACATATACGATCTGTCAAAAGTTTCAAAACAATATTAACAATATGGCCGAAGTGAAGTCGTTTTTAGTCACGTGATGCCCTCTCCATAGATTCTAACTCGATGGAAACCTACACCACAACAATTCCTACTTCTCAGTATTAATAGCTTAAGTATACTACTCACAGACCACTAATAGGAGGTAGGTGATCTGTGATACTACTACTCATCGAGTTTGATTCTAACTCGATGTTACTACTGCAGACTTCTTTCTTTGAAAAAAGAAGAATTATTCTAAATAGTGGAAGTGCATACTAAACCCATCAAATTTTGGGTAGTACCTATATATTAAAATTTAAAAAATTTATTTAATTTGTTATAATTTAACATAACTATCTATTATATGGTGCAGATAAATAAATATTGATTGTCAGTAATTCGCAAAGTTCTATTTTATTTACTATTTAGTTTGTTTACTCTTAACATTGGCCATGAGTACGTGTGCTTGGTTGAATAGTAATTTCCAGCCACTTTTAGTCTGTCAAAAAGTAACTAACTTCGCAAAAAAATAATTACTAAATTCACTAGACAGTTCGGACTGGGAATAGCGAACCGAGTTTAATAGAAAATCTTAGGAATAACGTACCGCACCGCAGGTTCGTATCCAAATATGTAAACAAAGTAATGGCCCGTACTTCAGAGAATAAATTATTAGTATTTGACTGTATTTGTATTAATTTGTATGTATTAATTTATCTTTATGTATAATATATCGTGTTTTTAGTGTTTACCGCGGGATAAATAAATCATAGTTTGTTAAAAATGTATTGCACTTTTTTAGATTATGATTAAATTTTCTGAATAACTAGTCATATTTTTATAGTAGTTTTAATATTATTAGGTCCGGCCCTGATTCAACCGCTGTAACGATGTGCTGAACGTCCTACAGCAACAGCGTTCAACAGTTCGAACCGTGAGAATGTCGATAATCACGCATCCATTTCCACGACAAGACGACGAGTTGGGGTCCGGAGCGGCTATTTAAAGCGAGCGGCTGGCGGAGTTAAAGAGGGTTTTGTGGCTATCATTCTAGGCTCTCTGGCTCGCTAGTGCATTGAGTCTGCGAGCCAACCTGGACAGAGAGACTTCCGCAGTGAGGATTATACTCTGTCCTTAATCAAGCAGAACCCGTGTGTATAGTGGATTGAACGTTATTGTCAACTCTGAGTATAACGTGAATCTGCACAATCAAATATTTTGATTGCGAGAGCGTTTGGCGCTTCCGCTGGACTGAGGTGGAAGCGAGTATAAGTCTGCGTGCGATCGAATTCGCGTATTTCATTGTCTGGGATTCACTCTCGCGGGATCCAGGCGGGGTTATAAAGATATATTTTATTTTTATTTTTGTACATTCGTTAGAATTAACATTTATTTTTATTTCAAGATGTGTTTTACTGAGTCTGTTACCTAGAAAGAGCTACTTGTCATATTCTTATGATCGTTAGCCACGCCAACTAGGCCGTTTTTAATACACACATTAATATGTTTATAGCTTCTCCATAGATTCAAACTCGATGGTATAAACGGAACATTTTTATTATCGAAATCGAAGCCAATAATGCCAGGAGCGCATACCCGAGCCCCGAGCCAAAAAGAAAAATAGAGATTGGAGTGTGCTGTGGAATTTACAACTTATACGGTAATTTAGCCATTTCACAAATCATAAACGTCAGTATATGACAAATTATGGTTTGCCATTGTCAATATATAAAGATTATTTGCATTCAAAATTAATGTATTAAAAATATCATAAATAATCAGTTACAATAATTCGACCATGTAAGGAGACATCCAGAGAGGTATAACCTTCTTCAGCTCATAATACAGGTCAAGATCACCGTGAAAAAATGATATAACTTCTACTAGGAATAGTTTCTAGTGAAGGACTGTAAAATGATATAGATTTTATATTACAAATATTTTACAAAATACTATTCCTAGTAGAAGCCATATCGATATTGTTATTTTAATTCTTACTAGCAAAAGTATAACAAGTGTTCAGATGTGTGAAGTAAATAGCTGATATAAAACGTAGAATCGTATATACCGGTTACTGACTACATATAAAAAAATTCAAAGTTTACCTCTTAAGATACATTCATTAATCAGGAGAGAACAGAACAATTATTCGAAGTATAAACGAAGTGTGTACTGAGGTAATGTTTAATAGTAAGCAGGCTGTTACGAATATTTATTATTTGTATAAAAGGTATTTAGTTCAATTTTAGTTTTATCATGTTACATAAAATTTCCCGTTGCTACTGTTCCATAAATTATGTCAAATATAATATACAAAACGTCAAAAAAAAACTGTCACCCAGGGAAAAATTTAAATATTTAAGAATTTAGCAGACAGCAAGAGAACACTAAGTAATGGGAATTAATTAGTTTTTTTATATTGTTAATTTTATATATTGTAGGAATTTGAGTTGTTTTTACGCAAATAAAACAGATAACTACAAATCCGTCAATTGCTGTCTGTTCAATACAGATAAATTCCCAACAAGCTCAAATTCTATTCATCACACGCGATTGCTGAATCACACAATCTTACAAGGTCTACGAATATGGGTCCATTAGTTGCTGGACGAACCAAAATTGATCTATGTCCTGTGTGCCGCAAGCCATATCGTGAAGAACGGATGGTAGAATGTACAGAATGTAAAAAATGGTGCTGTTTTGAATGCGTAAATGTACAGGATGATTCCGAAGTAATTGGTGATGACAGCTGGAAGTGCCCTCTTTGTGTAGAAGCAACCACTAAGAAGTCTCACCCACAAAGTTCCAAAATCAAGAAATCTTGTTCTGGAACCTCCTTAAAAAATTCCTCATCAACAAGCAGCAAAACAAAAATGAAGCTTCAACTTCTGCAGGAAGAACGAGATCTATTACGCCAAGAAAGAGAGTTAACCAAGGAGTCTAGGAGAATTATAGAAGAAGATGAGTGCTCGAATGATGGTCAGGACATCGATGAAGAGGAAATAATTGAAACTAACCCTTTGGTCAATAAATTCCTTTCTT